CTCGAATTGGGTTCGCAATTGGGCGTGTGTGGGTGGCGCCAAAAGAGGCATAGGCGACGAAGGCATCAAAATGCAAAGCAAACAAAGGCCCAGGCGGAGACGTGTCTTTGTGTTCTTCTTTCTGCTTGTTGTAGTTTTTCACACTAATGCAATTTGATGCGGCACAAAACCGCACAAATGCATGCACCCATATCCTCGCACACATGCAGCACTTTAGTCGCTGAGCCAACAAAAGCCTTGGCTGCTTTGGCGCTTGCGTTGGCGGTTTGTAAATCCTTAACAGAATAGGATTTTCAACACATTTGCTTGTGCGCGCGCGTTTGCTGCATAGTTTTAGGCGTTGCCTGCGCCACGCTAAGCCGGGCATTTGCCAAGGCGGCAACGGCGACGCCCGACTACATATCGGTCGGCATCACAAATGCATGGCGCACAAAAGCATGCTATTATTTTGCTCGCTCTTCGCCTGCCTCTTATCATTATTATCTGGGTGCTTCCGTTCAATAGCCAGCATCAGCATCAGCACCGACACAAACACCAACACCAACACCAACACCAATACCAATACCAGCATCAACACAAACTCCAACGCCGTGCACTGAATTTATGCAAATGCTGCATTTTGCTTTTCAATTTTGTTCGCCTTACAATTCCCTTTCACTGTACCGACCCGGCAACAAGTTGTGCTCTGCAACTTCTTGCCGTGTTTTCCCAGCGCATTAAGCTAGAGCGCACGGTTGTGGGGATTTGTGAGAAATATGGGTGCCATTCTTTGCATAAAGTGCCGCTGCTCACTCTCTCACTCTATTTTACTCTTCATCCGCTTATTTACTTTCACTTCTTTCTTTCACTTTACTCCTCATGCCAAATCTGCACAATTCAGTTTACAATTGTAGAGTTACATTTGTCCGTTGTTGCCGTAGCTGGTGCTGCTGCAACTGTTGCTGTTACTGTTGATGCTGCTGCTGCTGCTAAGTGTCACAAATCTCAACGATTTTAGCTTTTTAATGCGCCTTGCCCTGGGGCTTCGATTGATGCTGTGCGTCGAAGCCCTGAGTTCCTTTCGCCAGTGCCGTGCATGAGCTGGATTTATGGTATTGACTATGTAAATCTGTGGCTTTTAGCTTAAATACATATATGTGCATTTTGCAGGTTATCTTTATTGCACTTATTTCGTTCATATTTAAATATCCTTGGTACGATCTGCTTGATTTTAAGTATAAATATATGTTCGGTAATAGATTGTGTAGACTTTAACTCTCAAAGACCACATTGTTTTAGGTTAATTCCGCAAGTTAAAAAACTATATATTTATTTGAATACCTCTGGATTTTTTTTAATTTTTTGTTTTTTGCCTTAAAATTATTTTATTATTATCTGATATGCTGTTACTATAGTCTAGCAACTTTTATCGGCGTGAGGATCGGGGGTTCATAGTAACAAGAGTTTCGGCTTAAGGTAGCTTAGTTTAGATATTTACAGTTATTAGCTGGTTTATATATGTTTATTTAGTTTGGATTAGACTAAAATAAGATAAAAATAGTAGTCGACTGGGTGTTACCTTGTGATCACATTATGTTGTTGCTGCCTTTCTTCCCTTATCCCCACTCTGTGCGGAAATGAGTTGTTGAATAACTTTCATGTTTATTGTCCAATCTTTTTAAAACGTTCTGGCTATAAATATGCCTTCCAAACCTGTATAAATACCAAAGCAAAACCTAAATAAATTAGTTTTTCCATTCGATTTGCTACTTTCTTAATTTCAAGTCTCCAGCTTTTATAGTTACCAAACTTATTTTATAACTATTAATAGATTCAATGTTTGTCATATTTTCAAAGACTTACTTGGTGGCAAGAAAATTTAAAGTTTTCATTAGCATCATTCACTATTGAGTTGAGTTAAGCGCTCTTTAGTAACTGAGTAAGCTGTAGCTGCAGCCCAAGCCCTGTGGCCAGGCAATCCACCTGTTCATTAACCTGTGCGGCATTGTGTACAATATCAGTGCCAGTGGCGAAGCGTTGAGACCACCTTCACCCCGCTCACGCACGTCTCTCCCCACACCCGATTGCCAATTTACGTGTGCAAAAATGTTCGCTTCATTTGGTGCGCGGCTGCCACAGCTGTTGTTAATGTTGTTGGGGGCTATTGCTGTTGTTGTAGTTAATGTTGGCATTGGCCTAAAGCTGTGCGGTGCCCATAGTCAGCCGAGCGGAAAATGCAACGGCAAATGCCATGAACTTGTTGCAATGACAACACCGTGACAGGCCGCTACTTAGCTTTGGGCTATATGCATGCTGCATGCTGCATGTCGCATGTTGCATGCTGAATGCAGCATGATGCATGCAAGTTAACAGCACATTAATCATGGTATGGATCGCATTTGGGATGCGATGGGCCCGGTAGAGGCCCCAAAGCAAATTGCTGCACAAGCTGAGTCCGTTGCACGCGTCTCGCTCTCATTGACTGGCATTTATTACGCTGCTTAAATGCCAAACGTAGCAGCCACAAAAGCTGGACAAATTAACGCGTGGGTGGCCCGCCCGACCTGGCTCTGGATCTGGATCGGTCCGGGTCATGCATCAATGTCATTGCCGTTGCTTGTTGTTCAACAGTTGAACTGCAAATGTACTTGCAGCAATCGTACTCCTCCATGTATTCATATGGTTGCCACATGTGTGCCAGTTGTTGTTGTTGCACGGTCTCATTGCTGCTGCTGTGTCGCGTGTCACCATAAAAGTACGCACACACACTAGCGACATTGTTGGAAAGTCAAGCAACATCAATTTCCGCTTGTTGTCGTCATTAAAATGCAAGCGGTCATGCCTGGCCGCACTTTGCCACTCACAATTTTCGATAGGATGATGATGTTCATGATGATAATCATGATGACGATGAAACTGCTGCCACTTTTAGTCGCTTAAGTTGCAGAATTCTATTAATTAGTTGTGCCGCGCAGCGCGTGTATGCGACACTTTTGTAGCACTTAAAGCAATTTGCGCTCACAGTTTGATATGTCTGCGTAAACAAACTGACAGCCAGCTGACAGACAGTCAGCCAGCCAACAATTGCGTTGAGCGACTAAGTGAGGAGATGTTGCCGTGTAATCGATACTCTTTGATGAGGGCCTCTTTGTTGCGCTGTCAAAATAGAGCAAAGACCACCTTGGCGGTAATGTGATTAGAAATTTTGTTTTTTAAAATCCAATCCATAATTACTCACAAAAAGCTTGAAGAACAGGAACAGGCATCGAAATGAAAACTGAAACCGAAATCAAGGCCGGAAATTGAAATGTTGTAATTGCTGGAATGCAATGCGACGGCTGCTTCTCCTTCGTGTCTTCTCCTTTGTGGCACACGGCAAAGTCTCCGTTCAGATGGTCGTCGTTGTTGTTGCCACTGGTAAAGCAAAGTTTTGACAGCATTTGCCACTTTGTCATGCAATTTTAATTTCAACATTCGCGTTGCGTTGCGTCGCGTTGCATTTTTACTTTGTAGTTGGTCTCAAAAGCGCTGCTCGTATTCTGACAAAGTCGAAAAGTTTTTATTGGTGGAAAAGAGAGAAAGATGGAGGGCTGCTGCAGTTATGATTTACTTGCCGCACGCTGCCCCGAAAACGAAACGCAGCGCAACGAAATGAAGCCATCAAAAACGTTGACGTCGTTACGCAAAAGCGGAAATGACAATGATGATGACGCTGACGCTGACGACGATGATGATAATGTTGATGATGATGCCAAATAAAACGTTGGGCAAAAGTGCAGGCAATGGATGTGCACGCAATGGGAATGCGGCTGTGATTTGTGCTGCCTGGATGCTGCCGGGCAGGACCTGCCGCTGACGCTGCTCCTGTTGTTGCTGCTGCTATTAAAACGCGTGAAATTGAAAAGGCGAAAAATTGCAATGCCAACAAAATTGGCAAACTGCTGGACAAGTCGTATTCATTGTGGCAGTCACAAGGGAAAGAGAAAGTGTGCGATGGCTAGAGCCTGAACCAGAGACAGGGGCAGCAGCGACTGGAAACAGTTGATGTGGGGTAGCGTGCTAAAAGCTGTCAGCTGTTTGATGGCCGTGTTTGCCGCGCACAGTTTCCTGGCCAGATGCTTGGCTCGAACAACGCAAATGCCATGTGGTGGAATGGCTATAGTAAAAGTCGCCTTATAAATGCATATATAAAATTTCAGGGGTTTCTGCTTTTAATCCAGAGTTTAGCTGCAAAAAATATTAACGTCTATACTAAGAATGCAATGACAATAATTTGTGGTACCTTGTATTGTTATTTAATTGGGGATTTACAATGGATACAATGGAGTTACTGCACAATTATTGATAGCCATTTCAATCAGGGCTGCAAACCAAAACTAAATGGTTCATGGTGCAAATCAGGTCTTAAATTTCCCTTGAGAAAAAATAGTTTGGTTGAGGGTTCGGTTCATGTGAAAACTGAATGTGAATATTGAGTGTGAACTGGTTCGGCTCTAAAACCTTTTGAGGCCTTACTTTTTAATCGATAGGTTTGATATTTGATAAATTGAACGTACAGTAGATTCTTTCGATAGGGTTAAGTGCTGTGCTGAGGGGGAAAATCGGACTGCGCAGTCTTCCATAAGATTTCAAATCATTTTCAATTTATTTTGATCATGAGAATCGATTATAAAAACCTTAGGATATTAAACGTCAAAAGTGACAGGATAGCATGTGTTTTAGAGTACATTACTGTCAACATCAAAATTTTAACAATCACTGTTACCAGGCTTACATTGATTTTTTTTTATCGCAAGATCCATGCTCTTTTTTGAAAAGTAAGATCAGTCAAAAATGAATATACAGTTATTCTAAAGTCTATAAGCCTTAAAAAAAAGTAGAAAACTTTTTCGCGCGAATTCCGATGCAACGTAATGCTTTCCAGCTTCCGCTCAATTGATCTCACCTATATCATTTTACAATCCATTTACTCAACCAATTAACTAACATGTTATTCTCTTGGCTATCATATCTATTCACAGGTAGCGACCATGATGTCCTGCCCCCTACCTATGCCATTACCGATACCGATACCTTCAATACATAAAACTGAATTCACACCGGTTCACATTGGAGTCAAGGTGAGTTCTACTAAGCTCTCTAAATAATCCTAATGATGCTACGTGCGCAAAGCGCAAATCGGGACACTCGTTGCCCTATTATGAAATAGTAAATTAAGCGTATAAATGCGAATATCATGCAAATCGCGACCTCCGTGGCCCAAAAGTCAACAAGTGGGGCAAAATGTTATATGTAAATGTTGCCGCTAAACTGACACACAAGCCCAAGCGCCAACGCCAAACACCACCCGTACCACAAGCACCACAGACAGGATATGACAGCATGTCGAGTGGGGTTGCTTCATTGTTGACATTATTGCAAGCACACTCACACACACAGGCACAGAGATATTTATATATACATATATATGTATATGCATATGTATATGTATATGAATATTCACCCAGATAGACAGCGGGAACTGAATATAATGTGCGCTACTAAATCAAATTGTTGCTTGCCAAGATGGTGACGGGTGACGTTCCTCATCCGCATTCAAACACACACACACACACACACATCCTCATTTGACTACAACTTTAATGCGCAGTGATCACATTTTAATGATACCAAAATGCAGTGCCCGCATATTCTCGTTGTTGTTGTCGCTAAGGAATAATGATGTCAAACCTGTGCTAAAGGCGGACTGGGGCTAGGGGTTAACATTGTTGTGGACGCGTCATGTTTGATAAATGCTGCAGCATATTTCTTGATTTTGTTTGTCCTTTCGTTTAAATGCCACACATAAATCTATTTTTGAATGAAAGCCACTGCGTGGCGAAACGTGGCGTATGCGCTATATGTTTAAATGTATATGCATACAATATTTTTGGCAGTTTTTCCTCTTTTTTATTGTCGTTGCCCTGTCTGTTTTGCTTTTATCTGAAGGAAACGGCGCTTATTGTTTGCATAATGGAAGCTCGTTAGCGCTGTGTGTGTTTGTGTGTGTGTGTGTGTGTGTGTGTGTGTGTGTGTGTGTGTGTGTGTGTGTGTGTGTGTGTGTGTGTGTGTGTGTGTGTGTGTGTGTGTGTGTGTGTGTGTGTGTAAATATATATGTGCGGTTGTAAACACTCGTACAGATCCTTAAAAGAAACATTTTTGTAATCTCGCAGACAACGCTGAAACCAATATATATATGCGTTTTTAATTTGTTGTACTTAAAAACTTATTGTTCATCTCGCCTAGAAGGCTTGTCAGCCGCTGCTACTTAAAGCTTTGTCAGTTTGGCCAGTGTAGCGCTTTATAAATGAATTCCTAGTATTCACCCATTTCGTTTGACCAGAAATGCATGAACAGAGCTTCATTCTTATCCTTGGGGCACGGCAGCTGTGTCATTGATGCCACAAAGGCAGTACGACATTTTGCTTTCATGGTAAATGAAATTTTTGCCGAAAACCAAACGACAGCATGCCAACAAAATCGCAACGGCGTCCGACAGTTCAGATGAAAGATAAATGCTGATCGTGTGTGTGTGTATTGTTCGCAGGACCAGCGCTTGTTTGTGTTCTGTGCAATATTGTAGTTTCCTCATAAAGGACATATTATGCTTAAATGCATTCACTCAATTTATACGTTTTAATTATTTCCTAGAATTCATTCAAGGCAACGTGTTACCAGTATTTACAAGCAAACAGAAAATTTAATTTTAAATGCTGTTCCGAGTGCCAAATTACTGTAACAGCCAATAATTTACATCCTCAATATGTGTGTTTTAATAACACCTTTGCTTGTTGCCCGAAAAAGTAGACAATCCGTTTTTGAAGATTGACAAAAGTATAATAAAATAAAAAACTTGTTTAGCTAAATAAATGGTATTTATATATACCGAAGGCCTGCTTTCGAGAATCTGAACTAAACTTTATATTAAACTTAAGCTATGTTGTGCACATTTTAACAAGCAACGAAATTTGGGTAAATAAATCTGAAAATTTCGAATGCGTATATAAATCAATTAATGCATAATAATTACAGCATTTGATGTTTGTAAATGAGTAATATAATGTGCGTGAATAGCAAAACATTTGCATTTGCAAACATCCATTGTATGTGATTTCAAATAAGTTCAAATGCCCATAATTCTATACGAGTTTTCTTTTATGCCTGCTCGCATACAATGAAACCGCTTAAACCGAGCCGAATGGCTAATTATCAGGCAAAATTAACCGGTTGATGGGCTTGCTCGGATCTGCCACGACTAATTAAGGCAAATCACAGCACACAGCGTAGTCCTGACCGGTTACGGCGCCTGTCTGACGCTTGGTGATAACAGGCCAGTTGCCAGTTCATAAAAAAAACGTAGGCAAAAATTATTTAATAAAACGTCAGACAACAACAACAGCCAGAGTTGCCTAAGCGGGGTCAAATTTAACGAGCTACCAGCTGCGGCTGTTAAACCCAATTTCCCGCCCCGAGGAACCGACGCGAACTTACACTTGACCGCGCGGCATAAATCATCAAGAAGGGAATTGGACTTGGCGGTTAGGGTAGTTGGGTGTTTGGGTGGTGCAAGCGATTTTGCCAGTGGCATCTACTTGCCTCATAAAAAAAATGATGGTAAAGGTGTGTTGGCTAAATTATATTTAATAACAAAAATAAGACAATGCTCGGGGGAAGTTTGAGAGTTGGGGTGGTTATAGAAAAAGCGTTTCTCCAGCTACTTTTTTGTTTTAAATCGGATGCTTTGGAAAGGGCTTTTAATGAAATTTACTGTAAGGAATCGTTAAATCCAATTTATTTCTTAGTGTAAAGTTACATTGGAGAAAAGCGTTCTCGGGCACAAATCCCCAGCGGAATATATACCATATATGTATATATACTAGCGTGTAAACCACGTCCTCTTCCGTGGCACATTTAAAATAAATTCTCTCAAAGATCTTTGAAAATTCGTTTAAAACCTGTTTTCGCCAATTTACCGCTGTTGAGGGTGAAATTTCCCAAATCGATGAAACACCTATTCAATAAGTTCTTATGTAGAGCTTTGAAATCAAGTTTGAAGCATATCGGACAAAACTTAAAGCTTCGCCCAAAAAATCTTTGAATCCCCGTCTTCACGTGCGTCTTCATCACATAAGGTAACTACAGTGCAAATTTCAGCTTCCTAGCTCTTACGGCTTGGGCTGCGCGTTGATCACCAGTCAGTCAGTCAGGACAAACAGTTTTATACATAGACATACTATATATCTTAACCAAGATTAAGTTATAAATTATTTAGTGTTACTATTTTTTATGCTCCGAAAATAATGCTTTGCATTTTTCTGTGCTCGCATCGATAGTGATATCGATCCATAGCCTATCGTGGCAACTTCAGCACAAATGCAAATGTGATAAGTCTTAAAGAAAATGAATCCGATCAGCTTTTTGCATCCCTAAGTTGGCTTTCATTAGATATTGCAATACAATTTGGTATCATGATACACTTACTTTGACTTCTGAAATCTTAAATCCGACAAGCTGTCAGTGAGCTTTTGCTGTTTGAGAACTTCCGCTTGATTGTCTTTTTTTTTCTGATGCCTCTCGGGCAGCAGGTGATTGTACCTGTATTACATGCCCCGTCAGCATTGCAACGACTGTCCAGGGCATAAACCTTAACTTCAACTGTAGAGCGCTTTGACCGGCCAATGCTTCCGGGTTACGCAGCGCAGCGCAGCGAAGTGCCGTTGGCAGCCTCAGCTGCTCCTTTGCCTTATCCTTTTGTCTTCTTGGTTCATTCGCGTACATTTATTTTTCTTATGCTTGTTATTAATAATTTAAGTTGCGCTCTACTTTGGTATTAAGTCGATGAGGCAAGAATGACGACGACGATGCCGATGAGGACTACGTCGTAGCATTGTTTGCCCTGCCAGTGTTTGTCTCTCTGTCCGTCTGTCCATCTGTCTGCCTGGCACTGCGCTGCGTTGTTTATACTTACAAAGGATTGCGTTTCAGTTACATTTGGGGGTGTTGCGTTAAGCGCTCATTTTCAGTTACCTTCAGCTGCTGCTGCTGTTATTGTTGGTGCTGCTTCTGCTTCTGCTGCTTCAACCTGGCTGTACTTTGTTTTATTTTTTATTTCCACTCAAATTGTTTTATTTGCAGCAGAGCATCTCGCACAGAGACCCAGACGCCTGGCTTTATTACGGCGATTTTTCTTGAACGCATTTTTCTTGTGTTGTCGTTTTTCTTAGCTGTCTCGTACCTTTTGTAATTTTTATGATTTCATTTCTCCTCACCTCATGCGTTGCCCCCATCAAGCGGCGAATGCGACTGCGGCTGCTTTGTTTGCTTTTTGGTTTTTATTATTGTAATTCATATAAAAAGAAAAGCGTAATAGTTGCTATTCACCCCGGCTCTGTGTGTGTGTGTGCGCGCGCCATAATAAAAACCTTTTCCAGAAATTAAAAAAGAAAGGAGATGCGAACCAAATTGCCCAAAATCCGTGCCATACACAATTCACAGTTTCAGCAAAAAAAAAAAAAGAAAAGACGCCATTGCGTATGCGCCACGTAATCTGCAAGAAAAACACAAACACACAACAAGAACGGTTGTACTTGGTCGCAATTGGATTTGATTTTTGCCTTGTTGCTTTTGTTGTTTTCCCAGCCTTGGCAAGCGTTAAAAATTATAGTTATTTAGTGTGATTGTTTTGGGGTAATTCCGTCCCAAGAAGTTGTGGCACATTAGACATGCACACGCCATCCTTTAAAATGGGAATTCTCGCTTTCTCTTCGCGTCGCCATTTTGGGGCGGCCCATTACACAACAGTAAATGTAACGGTAACAACAAAGGGCTAACGGCTAATTATTCCCCCGTTAACGGGCGCAAGCACACAAAACAATCGTTAAACAAAAAATATTATAGCTTGCCTCTCATTGCTGTGCGTGTCCAAGCTAATGCGGCACGCAGCCAAGATAACCAGGCGGCATATTATGTCTGAGAAACATGCGTGGGGCATAACTAGCTAGTAAGACGACCTAAGTGGCAGCAGCAGCAGCAGCAGCAGTAGCAGGAGCAGTGGTAGGAGAATGCGTGTCCTAAAAGACAT